GGAAAGTATATAGGTCCACAAAGAAAATGGGGAAATCAAAGCAATGCTTTCATTGTGAAAGAGGAGAAATTATTATTGCCACAAGGGAGATATTGCTCTGAGATTTAAGGATGTATTTGCACATGGTGACTGACAGCTGAAGTGAATGATGATCAAAACAAGGAATATTGAATTCCAGCACTCTTTATTATGTATAATAATAATAATAATAATAATAATATCAACAACAACAACATTGCAGCTATTATTGTTTATGCTACTGATATTGCTGTAATTATACACAAACAGTGCTCAGCACTTACAGAAAACATGAACAAATACTGCAGCAAACCCTTTGCACACTGAGCAACCTGGCCATCTCCTGACCATCAGCATCTCAGCTCAGCAGCCCCAGGGACATCACGGTCCCACACAGCACCCGTGGTGACCAGGGTGCACCCGTGTTGTTCACAGTGGAAAACCATCACTGAACTGGATGCAGGGCCACAGGTAGAACTTGTCTGCCTTTGGCTCACAGGAAAGGCAGGCTCCTTTCCTCCAATCTATTTGTGATCAGATCCACTCCTCCACAGTTTCAGGGTTAATTTTTTCAAATTTGGGGATGATTTCTGATCTAGGTGTTCCAGAGGTCACCTGGAGGAAAGCTATGCTTCCACAGAGGAGGCAGGGTGAAGAGAAATAATTCTGAAAACCATTAATTGCCACACGCTTTACCAGAACTGCACCAGTTATCCCACAGCTCTCTGACAACCTGCTGGCTGGGAACTGGCAACTATCAAAATGTGAGGACCTAGGGACCTTGGTAGGAGTAGATTTAATCAGTAAAGCAAATGAACAGGTGACATGAATTATGAGTCTGTAGTTAGCTGAAAATGAGTTTCATCAGTATAACAGCTGAAAATTAGTTTCATCAGTATAAAGGTGGCAGCCTTCTGCTTAACCTAAGATTGAGAAGTTAGGAGGGTTTTGACTTCTGTGCAAAGTTGGTAAAAGAGATTTTTGTTTGTGTATGACTAAAAAAGAACTGCAGGTAGAGGCTGAGCAAATTCATAATGGAGCTAAATCTGGTGCAGAGGTGAGAGCTTCATGGTTGCTAAACATGGTCTTGCTGAAGGCATTAAATCTGTTAACTTTTCTGGTTTATTTTCCCTACCATTCTAGTGGTGACCAAGGAAATCCCATTTTGTAATTTCCAAGTCTGCAGATCTAAGATTTAAGCTCTAGGCTTAAGACTAGTTTAATACCCAGACTGGAACTTCCCGAGCACAGAAACTTGTTAGAGAGCTGTTGTCACAGCTGAAGCTGCTGCTAACCCCTGTCTTCTCTTGCAGGTTATTACTAATAGGGATATTGATCTCTGAAATATGGACCCAAGAGCACTCAGGTAATGCTGTAAACTGCTTTCACATAATAACTTCTAGGCTTTTTCATAGGTGATATCTGTGTTTGTGTGTGTTTGATCCAGAAGAGTCTGAAGACTATGCTTGCATGTTTTTTCTGAGAAACCCCAAAGACAGAAGTGTCTATTAGTAACTACTCATGGATATTCTGTAAGTTTATGTATCATTGTATTAAGTGAATGTTTCTAACTTTCCTCGCTCTGGTAACAAGTGCTGATGAATGAACAGGGACTTCATTGTTGTTCTTGTTCTCTTGAACCTAGTTATTGATGATACAATATGTAAGGTCTTTTAAATACTACAAAAATAATAAGTGCTTTGTCTGAGGAGAAACAGTTTTCTTGACCAAAACTCCTGTCTGTGTTAAATTCTTCCTTACAAAACAGAGCTGTGAGTGTTGCAACATTGACTTTATAAAGCAGTCTGGGAAGTAACAGATTTCTGCTTACATGTTACCTTTAATCCCCTGTTTATTGGCCTTTCATTACCTTCAACACAGGACCTATGATTTCAGAGTGCTTGGGGACCCTTTTGCGTATAACACTGAGCACAGAATACTTTGAGGACAAATACTTATCTCTTTCTGTTGTTGGTAAGTTGATACAGAAGGGCTTGGAGAGGGAATCACACAGGGTGAAATATTTAAAATTCTCCAAGGTCCTCCTATACTAGAACTCCCTGTATTATTCTAAGCTTATAGAATTTAGTATGTTGCACCTCATTTTCAGTAAGAGACAGATACGACTTTTAATTCTGTATAACCTATCCTGTAGCTTTGTTGAGTGATAACTTAGCAATATCAAGTCTAATCATGGCTGTCTTTGGACCCAAATTGAAATACACATGGTAGTTGGTAGTTTAATGCTGGTGGATTTCCCTCCTGGTAAAAATGTTCCCCAGAAACAGCACATACTCTTCTCAAAATTCACTAGCTGAAGCTGCTGCACTGCTGACTTTGTACTAGTGTCTTTCCACCACCTTTACTTACAGCTAAGAGACCTGGTGGAGGCACATAAACTCTTAATAAAGAAAAGATAGCTGATCTCTCTGGCTGTGGGCTTAGTGATCAACAAGTGGTGCTTTTGAGTGAAAGTTACCATGGAGTGCCCTTTTGGGCTATAAACATCATCAGCTGTAAGATTATATGCATAAAATGTAAACTCAGCCTTGAACTAGCTCTCCATGCTAGTTAGCTAACTATAGTCCATAACATAACATCCATCTGTCTAGAATGTTAAACTTGTGTAAAAACCCACTTAATATATGTTCTTTGTTCTGGTGCCATAAAGACACTCTGCAGTTGGGATATGTACAGCTTGAAAGTACAAAGCTGTATTTTTGAAAAATAGAACATAAATTATTTTAGGAAGAAAGAGATATTTAAAAATAACAAAGAAAGAAACTGGAGGGTTTGCCCCTTTAGGATTTAATATCTTTAGATGCTCAAGATTTTCTCATCCTCAGTCCTTGAGCTGCTAGTGTTCCTGTCCTACTCTGTCTGTAATTTTACCTTTCTTATTTTCTAGACTTTGTTACAGCTCTTTGCCACCACTTTGCAATTCTCTTATGTCTAAGCCTAGGATATGCAGCTGGGCCGTATTCGAGCAGGGTAGCTGAAGCCTGGGATGAGGGCAGGTTGCTGAGGAGTTGATAGAGCAGGAGTTATACTCATTAATACTGCTCTTCGCTAATTGCCCATAGATCAATCTGGCATAACCTGGGAGCTAAATGAGGCCGTGGCATCACAGTGTGGCTATACAGTAACTTACAGCCATGGGAGTAACATTGAGTTTCGTGCTTCTGCACTAAGCTGCCATTCTCACTTAGAGGTAAGTCTGTTATAGGCATTTTGTCTACGGTGCTGTGGTATACAGACTTTATGCAAAAGATTAGAATATTCCATGATATTGACATTCAAATGTTTTACAGCCAAGCACAGATGAAGACATGAAGTATATCACATATATGCCCTTGAAGGGCAACTGCTTTATCTTGGATAAGAATAGGAAATTTAGTCTGGCAGCTGTATTGCACTTTGCTTTAGTATTTGGTGTCTAAGATGCTGGTGTAAAAGCTCAAAAGCTTTGGCTGCTTGTGTGGCTTGCTCACTGCTACCTATATAATGTACCACAAGATCAGCTATATTTTAGAGGGCATTTTGCATATTGTCTATGTAGTTAATTGAGTAGAAAGAAATAATGCTTCAGTATGGAGTTGCTCTTCTGTGCAAAGAAGGGTAGATGAGGTACTTAAGGATATGGTTTAGGGGGTAGACAGGAATGGTTGGACATGATGATCTCAGAGGTCTTTTCCAACCGAGCAATTCTGTGATTCTGTGAAAGGCTGATGGGCAGATTTTGTAAGTTACTTTAAGGTCACAAGGATAGGTAAAGCCTAACTTGGGAAAATCATCCTAACAAGCAAGTGTTCCCTATGTCCATGCAGAAAGATGTGTTCACAGTAACTCTACAAATCAAAGCATCACATACTCCTGATATGAATAATGCTGCAACTTATCTGAAAAGTGCAAGTTGCTATCGTGGCCCATGGAGCCCAAGAGAGTTAGTGTGTGAAAGTAACTACATGGAGGTAAGTACTGGAAGTACTTATGGGAAGGCACTTAAAGTACAGTAAGGAAGCAAGTACCTTTGAAAGATGCACTTTTTGGGAGCTGATTAGATGCTAGGAATGTGTATTGGAAACAGAGTTTGAATGACCCACTATGAACAGCTCACTAGCAAATGCACATCATGCATCTTGAGCTTAGCGAAGCATTTATATTCTGTTTATACAGCCTACTGGCCAGCATTAATAGCCAATAAAGTTGTGAAATACTATTCAAAAAGTTGAGCTAATGTATTGAACTCGCTGAGTTCAACAAATCTTATTTGAGATTAACAGAAATGTATGCTTTCTGAAGGAAGTTTCCCTACTGAATTTGATGGGAAGAAATATGCACGGGGGGGGGGGGGGGAAGACTCTGAGAAGGACATGGCAGTCAAGAACACTTCTGCTTCCAGTTAAAGCCAGAAATTTGGAAACATATCCAGAAAATAAAAAGAAGTCAAATGTACTATAGATACTGCAGCATGCATGATGGCATTTTATGCCATGATTTTTTTTAACTTGAAGGAGAAGCAGGCACAACTCTTCAGGAAATACTGGCCTTCCTTCTTAATCTTGTATCGTTGTGAAAGTACTGAAAAAGACTTCTAGGGTGTTGGAAACAAGGAAGCAAGTATTACCAGCAAACCCCTTACAGTGGCTTTTTCCCTCCAGGTTTCTGTCAGGAAGGAGGTTCCACAAACTCTAAAAGACTTGATTCAGCATGAACCTGAGGACTGGACTCTTGCCTTTCCAGAGGTAAAACTACGGGTTTTGTTCCCAGTAAAAGTTAGTGCTACTTGTGACATAGCATCCTTCTGTGTCCACACAGTACAAAATGTATTTTCAGAAAGCACTTAAGTAGGAAGAGCAGGACTGTAGACCATGTCTGCAAGGAAGAAATGGAAACTAGTTTCTCAAAGAGCCCAGAAATCAAGTCTTCCCCAGACAAGAGGCTGCACAACAAAAACTGCCTCTGAGACCCCAGCCAGATGAGGTGAACTGTGGGCAGACTTTCTTCTTGGACCCAATATTTGCGATGCAACAGTGTAATTAATCTCTGGTTGACATGGAAAGTTTTTGTCTGAGAGGCTGAGCAGGGGAAAGCTGAAGGAGTATCCCACTAGCATTATTTAGAATAACAGAACAAAACTGCTGGACAGTTTAATACAATAAATCATGCAATGTAGTAAATAAGAAGATACTTTGAACAGCATATTTAAACTGTTAATGGATTTCTCTGGATAGGCAGAAGCAGGAGAAGCCTCAATATGGCAAATAGTGTTTCATCAGCCAGAAGAAAAAAAGGCTCTGCTTGTGAGTGATGCTTGGAGTGCAGGCTATGGACTCAGCACCACAGACACCAGGGTTCTGCTGCGAATACCATACGCCGCTGCACAAATTCAGCTGGTTGAGGTTAGTATGCTCACATTCTGGCCCAGCAAGCTCCAGGGTGTGTGGGTCTAACCAGATCTCTGCCTACAGGCACAGGGAATTACCTTTTTTGCAGTAAGATCAAGTATATTTTACAAACAGCGATGGATGATCCTGATGGTGGACACTGCTGTGGCATGTCCTGTAGGTGAGAAATGCAGTACCTTACTCCAATGCTTAAATATACGTAGACTGACTTACAACTAGAATAATGAACTGACAGGTTTCATATCTTGTCCCTAAGATGATGTGGACTATGCTAACAAAACAATCATCTGGACTGTTCCAAAGTATATTCAACCACTCTCTGCTGGAGCAACTGGCTTCAAGGATGTGCTTGTTGAAGCTGGCGTGGATCTACACAAACTCTCTCTCGAAGAAATGGCCTCCAGGAAATATGTGTTATCAAATGACTTAAATGCAATTACAATGAAGATACCAATAGGTGCAGAAGGTGGCTATTACAAGGTTAGTGTTACTTAATCTTCCACTGCCACTTAACCTTCTGGGTTTTTCTTTTTTGTTTTTTGTCTTCCCCCACTCTCCTAGAGAGGAATAATTCTCTATCCCATTCCTTCCAAATGAAAGGTGAGGCAGAGGGGAAGAAAGGATATATTAAAAATCTCAAAAGATTTGACTAAAAAGAGCTCTTTTAAGCACCACTTTGCGAAGAATTTCTTTTCTTACAAGCACAGATGGGCAGAATCATATACAGAACCACTGATTTGTCTCCTTCCTCAGGTTAAAACAGAGCTTTCACCTTTCAGTCCTGATGTCATACTCCTTGGAGACAGTCCTAACTGGACTGTAAAGCATGTGTGAGTTCTGTCATATTTTACACAAACCATTTAAGAGAATGGGAACAACCGATTTTTCCACCAGACTCTAGTATATTGGGATGGGCTGAAACTAAATGTCTAAATCTAGATCCTTGGAGTGAACTGGATCCTGGGCAAATGTAACAACTGAACTTCAAAAGAAGTTGCAGGAGGAGCCCTTCCACTGGTGACGTTGTTCCCTGCTTCTCTGAATCTTGGGAATGAGGGACAATTTTTCAAAAGAAAATCTTATGAGATCTTCTAAATTCTTAGGTGAAAATAGAGCCCATAATAGTGATACAGCAAAACTGGGAGGAGTGGCTGAAATGCCAGATGGCTGTGCTGCCATCCAGTGAGATCTGG